GTATATGAAGAAATTGAAAACGAAACAAAGACTGTACATGACCTCTGTGCACGTACAATCGTTTATGATCGCACTCGCTTAACCTAAATGCTTGGAATAATTTTCAAAAAAATTCTCCTCTCAAAGCTCCTTTTTTTCTGACAATGTAGGACGATGATGGCTCGTCTGCAAAAGAACCAAGGCAACGCCAAAGTAACTTTTAAGCTACTCTACAAATCTCAATAACTCTTTTGAATTTATCTAGCACATATTTTGTCTTGCTCCATGAATGATCACACAACGAGTGATCTCTAATATTCATCTTCTAAAAGGTTTATTAATTCTTTCCGAGTATGTGTTTCTTCAACTTATTTGTCAATGAATAGATTGTTAAAAAAACAATGTTTACAATGAATTACTCATGTAATTCGCTACTTAATATTATCCAAATTATTCGACTTTCTATTAGAATAAATCTTGAAATACTAACATTTAAACAAAGAAGTGCTTTTGTAAAATAGATCACTGAAGAAAAAAAAGAAAATGATAATGATTGTTCATTTAACATATCATTTTCAATATTTGCTTGAAAAAATGTTCGACAAGCCTAAAATATTCATATGTATTGTCTATTAAATATACATATATATATATATTTATACTTTAATCCAATGAAGTAAACAATTATTAGTAATTAATTTATTTAATATATCATAAAAGTCATTTCCAGTTTGATCACTAAAACATATCCAAAAAGAGAAATCTAAAATTGTTTTATTAATGAAAATAACTAACGTAGTATAATTTAGTAAATGTTGAGTAAGTAAACGAAATGAAGCTGATACTGCACGTTTTTCACCTGTATCCATTAATTCAATGCGTACACGTGTATTTGATATTGGTGTTGATATATTTTTCCAAAAATCATTTCTAAGGCAAAAATTAAATAATCAATAATATCATTAATGAAAATTCCTTTCTTTTTCTCTTTACATTTTAACAAAATAATCTACAAGTAATTGAGTATGTTGTTCCCAAAATTGTGTTATAAATGTTACAGTTAAAATAAATAAATCACTTGCAGCAACATCATTCGTATTCTAAATAATCATAAAAACGATAAATTTATGAAATATTTTATAGAATTATATTCTAACTTCTGTACTCCATCGAAGTAATTCAACAATTGGTTGTAAAATTGTTGAATTACCAAAAGTTGCTGTTGAAGTTGTATTTATATCACATAAATAACCAAGTAATGCTGGTTGAGAATTAACACATACAATCAAAAAATCCAAAATAGCCATTGTTAAATCCGGAGACTAAAAGAAGAAAGCTATTAGCATAATCCCTGCAAGATTGCTTTATTCTATCTATTAGGATACATGTCTTCACCATGCTTTTACTTAATTTTTCAATAATCCAATAAGGAAGTAGTTCATATATTATAACAAGACGTTATTAGTATACGACCTGTGATCGTATATCAATAACGTCTATCACAATCTGGGACGTTCTCATATTTATGCCTGTCAAATTCTGCAATAGTCTCTGACTAGCGTCTGTCACGGCCTGTAAAGAAAGGTCCAAATTTCTACCACTATACTTCAATACACTTTTTAGATTGTGTATCACAAAACAACAAACAATTAAACTAATCATAATAATTTTACTTTTCTATCTTTGATGTTTTCTATAATAAATGTTCGAAATCGTTCAATACTTGTTTCTAATAAAATTGAAAGTCCAGGTGTAATCTAAATTAAATAAATGAAATTCATAGAAATAAAAAACACAAAAGATGATGATTTTATTTTACTTTAGCTAAACTAGTTAAACATCGTAGACAAATTGGTGCTTTTATATCATTAATATGTTGTAATAAGAAATCAATGCAAACTTTAATTAATAATTTCGATGCAAATGGATTATTTGGTGTATTTATATTTTGTTTAAAATTTTCTACTTGATAATCAATTACAGATGAAATAATTGCCATAGAATTTTGTAAACATGATTGATATAAGATTCGATTTGCTGGATCAGATAATCTAAAGAATAAATAATAGAGAAGGAAAAAAAATTTTTTTTTTTTT